GTGCATCAAACAACCTGGCACTAAACATCAACAAGACTAAGGAACTCATCCTTTGACTGCCATCTACAACTCCCGTTGTCTCAGCAGGGCCAGAAACATCCTGAGGGACACCACCCACCCCGGCTTCCATTTCTTCAACCTGTTGCCCTCAGGCAGGCGCTTCAGGTCAATACGGACCAAAACAAACAGACTCAGGGATAGCTTCTTCCCCAAAGCTGTCACCTTACTAAATCAACATCTAGTACTCCAGTTGTACTAATGTATTGTATACAGTTGTGGTCAAAAGTGTACATACACTTGTAAAAAATCATAATGTTATGGCTCTCTTGAGTCTTCAATAAGTTCTACAACTCTTATTTTTCTGTGATAGAGTGATCGGAACACATACATGTTTGTCACAAAAAACAGTCATAAAGTTTGGTTCTTTCATAAATTTATTATGGGTCTGCTGAAAATGTCACCAAATCTGCTGGGTCAAAAATATACATACAGCAACATTAGTATTTGGTTAAATGTCCCTTGGCCATTTTCACGGCAACTAGGCGCTTTTGGTAGCCATCCACAAGGTCCTGGCAAGCTTCAGGTCGAATGTTTGACCACTCTTCTTGACAGAATTGGTGCAGTTCAGCTAAATGTGATGGTTTTCTTGCATGAACCTGTTTCTTTAGCACTGTCCACATGTTCTCAATGGGGTTTAAGTCAGGACTTTGGGAAGGCCATTCTAAAACCTTAATTCTAGCCTGGTTTAGCCATTCCTTTACCACTTTTGATGTGTGTTTTGGGTCATTGTCTTGTTGGAACACCCAACTGCGCCCAAGACCCAACCTTCGGGCTGATGGTTTTAAGTTTTCCTGCAGAATTTGGAGGTAATCCTCCTTCTTTATTATCCCATTTACTTTCTGCAAAGAACCAGTTCCACTGGCAGCAAAACATCACCAGAGCATAATACTACCACCACCATGCTTGACAGTAGGCATGGTGTTCCTGGGATTAAAGGCCTCACCTTTTCTCCTCCAAACATATTGCTGGGTGTTGTGGCCAAACAGCTCAATTTTTGTTTCGTCTGACCAGAGAACTTTCCTCCAGAAGGTTTTATCTTTGTCCATGTGATCAGCAGCAAACTTCAGCCGAGTCTTAAGGTGCCTTTTCTGGAGCAAGGGCTTCTTTCTTGCACGGCAGCCTCTCAGTCCATGGCGATGTAAAACACGCTTGACTGTGGAGACTGACACCTGTGTTCCATCAGCTTCCAAATCCTTGCAGACCTGCTTCTTGGTGATTCTTGGTTGACTCTTGACCATCCTGACCAATCTCCTCTCGGCAGCATGTGATAGCTTGCGTTTTCTTCCTGATCGTGGCAGTGACACAACTGTTCCATGCACTTTATACTTGCGTATAATTGTCTGCACAGTTGCTCTTGGGACCTGTAGCTGCTTTGAAATGGCTCCAAGTGACTTCCCTGACTTGTTCAAGTCAATAATTCGCTTTTTCAGATCCACACTGAGTTCCTTTGACTTTCCCATTGTAGCTTTTGTAGCTGAGTCTAATCACTGGGTCAAATAGCCCTTTTTAAATGGGCTCATGAGAAGTCAACAGCTGTAGTCAATCAGAATCACTTAGAAGAAGTGAAGAGGCCATGATATGAAGCTAATTTGATTGACACAACTCGCTACATCACCAAAATTGACATATTTTGTTGCTGTATGTATATTTTTGACCCAGCAGATTTGGTGAAATTTTCAGCAGACCCATAATAAATTTATGAAAGAACCAAACTTTATGACGGTTTTTTGTGACAAACATGTACACTATATTGCCAAAAGTATTTGCTCACCTGCCTTGACTCACATATGAGCTTAAGTGACATCCCGTTCCTAATCCATAGGGTTCAATATGACGTCGGTCCACCCTTTGCAGCTAGAACAGCTTCAACTCTTCTGGGAAGGCTGTCCACAAGGTTTAGGAGTGTGTTTATGGGAATTTTTGACCATTCTTCCAGAAGCGCATTTGTGAGGTCGCACACTGATGTTGGACGAGAAGGCCTGGCTCTCAGTCTCCGCTCTAATTCATCCCAAAGGTGTTCTATCGGGTTGAGGTCAGGACTCTGTGCAGGCCAGTCAAGTTCATCCACACCAGACTCTGTCATCCATGTCTTTATGGACCTTGCTTTGTGCACTGGTGCACAGTCATGTTGGAAGAGGAAGGGGCCAGCTCCAAACTGTTCCCACAAAGTTGGGAGCATGGAATTGTCCAAAATGTCTTGGTATGCTGAAGCATTCAGAGTTCCTTTCACTGGAACTAAGGGGCCAAGCCCAGCTCCTGAAAAACAACCCCACACCATAATCCCCCCTCCACCAAACTTTACACTTGGCACAATGCAGTCAGACAAGTACCGTTCTCCTGGCAACCGCCAAACCCAGACCCGTCCATCAGATTGCCAGATGGAGAAGCGCGATTCGTCACTCCAGAGAACGCGTCTCCACTGCTCTAGAGTCCAGTGGCGGCGTGCTTTACACCACCGCATCCGACGCTTTGCATTGCACTTGGTGATGTATGGCTTGGATGCAGCTGCTCGACCATGGAAACCCATTCCATGAAGCTCTCTGCGCACTGTTCTTGAGCTAATCTGAAGGCCACATGAAGTTTGGAGGTCTGTAGTGATTGACTCTGCAGAAAGTTGGCGACCTCTTCGCACTATGCGCGTCAGCATCCGCTGACCCCGCTCCGTCAGTTTACGTGGCCTACCACTTCGTGGCTGAGTTGCTGTCGTTCCCAAACACTTCCATTTTCTTATAATACAGCTGACAGTTGACTGTGGAATATTTAGGAGCGAGGAAATTTCACGACTGGATTTGTTGCACAGGTGGCATCCTATCACAGTTCCACGCTGGAATTCACTGAGCTCCTGAGAGCGACCCATTCTTTCACAAATGTTTGTAAAAACAGTCTGCATGCCTAGGTGCTTGAATTTATACACCTGTGGCCATGGAAGTGATTGGAACACCGGATTCCGATAATTTGGATGGGTGAGCAAATACTTTTGGCAATATAGTGTATGTGTTCCGATCACTCTATCACAGAAAAATAAGAGTTGTAGAACTTATTGAAGACTCAAGACAGCCATAACATTATGATTTTTTACAAGTGTATGTACACTTTTGACCACAACTGTATGTATGTATGTGTTATTTATGTGTCCACTTTACGGAGCTGCTCTCCAAATCTCATTGTACTGTGTACAATGACAATAAAGGCTTTCAATTCAATTCAATTCAATTCAATTCAAGCGTGAAGTTTGCACTAACTTTCCATCCGCCATATGCAAATGATGTGAACTGTTCACATCCCGGATATAGTTCTGACCAATCAGCGCATGGCGATTACTACGCCACGACGTCAGTGAGAAGGCTGGCATGTAAACAAAGATGGCTGCGCCCTGTAAGCAGCAGCGTGGATCGCATGATAAAGACGAAAATCCTGTTTGCTGCATGCACATATTAGATAATTGTATCTAAAATACCTGCGTTATAACTAGAGCAAGATAGGACACCTTCAGAAAGATTGCAAAAGAGTGGATATCGCTGAAAGGGAGAGAGTGCAATGCCGTGTTGTCGATCGTACACACATTGGATAAGGAGTACAATGAACTGGAAAAGCTGCCCTAAAAGCTCATCCCTCCTGTTACAAACGGTTTACAGACAAACGGCAAATGTTCTACGCCAAGAAAAGACAGCAACAAACACAAAAATCAGCTAGTAGCGGTGAGTACATTCATATTATTATTGAGATCTTGTGTAGCCTTCATAAAGCCCAACATATTACTTTTAGGTCATCAATTAAATTCAATTATCAACACAAGTCAGCTTAGCTACAGCAAACAGAGACAAATTACAAAATGAAATTAAATAAAGATATACAATTAGGGATTTGAAGGCCGATTTGAATATAATAATAGATTATATCAGATTAAATGAATCAATAATTCATGCATTTTTTGTGCCATCCTCATCATAATGATCATGGACCAGATTATTTTCTGATTGGCCTAAAAAGGCTGTAGGCATGACAAGGATATGTTGTTAGATTTTTTAACCATTGTCAAAATCATTAGCCTAATGACACAAAAATATAAAGAGAAAAAGTGTAGCAAACACTACATAGGCCCTACAGTGAATGTTGTTGTTTTGATCTTACTATGAAGACGTGCATGGATCAGAATGGCAAACAGTTTGTTCTTGTTCGATAGTTTAGTACATCTTCGGTTAGTGAATGATTTAACCTATGAAAATGATTTCTGAAAGCTATTCATTATTCCATATCTATATAAATTTTTACCGGGTATTACTGTTTTATTTCCAGATAGTGCTGGTCCTTCTCCTAAAAGATTGCGTTCCAAAGGTGACATACGGGTACATGGTTCGTCTGCAATTCTTCCCGAAATCTGTTTGATTTGCAAGAGGAAGAATAATTTCATCACAAAACAGGGGAAAAGAGTGAAGGACAAGTTAGCTAAAGCAGAAACGGCAAATTGTGGTAGGTTTACATCTTGTATTGTACTTGGTGTGAGTTGTGGTTATCTATTTTCAGTGTCTTAATTCATTATTTTGAAAATATAATTGGTAGCACAAATGCAATATAACAGAATACCATTTAAAATGATTATAAGTATGTAGACATTAAGATTATCATTTGGCAAAGTTTTGCCATCATTCTTACCCTGGTCGAAACGTAGTAATAATATTTTCTTAAATGAGTTAGAATTATCATAATAATCTCAAATACATATGGACTCTTTTCCATTATTTTGAATTCAACCTTCAATCAAATGAATTTTGTATTTTATCCTTTTACATTTTATTTCTTTTTGTGCTTATAAAAATACTAGATAGACTATGTGTAATCACTTTTCTTTTTTTATTAAACAAATGCCTGACCAGTTTTTTTTGCACATTGTAAGGTGCTGTTTTAAGTGTACTTATTTGAATTTTTATAATTCTTTCCAGGACGACTTCGTGATGCAGCAGAACTGAAACACGACGAGTCTATTCTAATGCATATATGGGATAAAGACTGTGTTGCAGTTGAGGCCAGGTACCATCATAGCTGCTATCGGTCTTACATTCGCTTTCTTACCAAAAGTCAAGATGAAAGTTCAGTGAGGTATGTATCAATGAGAAATTCAGCATTGAACCTAAATGACTCTAATGAAATCATTTGTGTGGCCAAAATGGTCCACATATTGTGCTTACTAATATGTGATATAGATCTAGAAACAACTTATGGCAGTATTCCTAATAACACATTTTCATGGAACTCATCGCTGATTGAATTAGAAATGTGATCTTTATGGTTTGTTATTTTCATAAAGAAGAATTTAGAAAAAAAAAACAATTTACTGGAACTTCTGCCTTTTTTTAGAAAGTGGCAATTGGCTACATTATCAGCCACTCACTGACAGAGTGATGTTCTGTGAATTCAAATTGTCCGTCTGAAACTTTTTTTTATTTTTTTATTATAATAATATATAATATTTAATGTTAATTATGTCAGTGAAATCTCATTTATATGAGAACTTTGCTACGAAATGTTCCACCCTGTACAATATTTATTATTTAAATTGTAATTGAAACCATGAATCCTTACAGTTTCTGTCCTGGTTAGCTTTTATTTTTCATTTTTTGTATAAAAATTAGAAGCTAATATTACCTTTTCTGTTGGTTTTAAGTGGGGCAAAGGTGCCATTTGAGGCCTCATACAAAGTCTTCTGTGATACCGTGATTGTCAAAAGGATTTTGAACAACCAAGAAGTCATTAGAATGACCAGTCTGCTAAAGATCTTCAGGAAAACTGTCCAGAAAGAGGAATCTATGGATGCCTCAAATTACAGGTACATATCTTTCTATCATATTGCCTTACCGAACATCAATGAAGAAAGATTATATCAATCAAATTTTGACACTTAACTCTTTCATTTTCAGGTCTGACCAGCTTAAGTCGAGGCTTCTAACAGATTTTCCTCAGATCACCTTTCACAGACCAAATATGAGAAACAAGAGTGAACTTGTGTATGTTGAAACACTTTCTTCAGGGGCTGTATTTGAGGAGTTACACTCTACATCACAAAGTGAGATAGGATCCTCAGAAACAGACATTGGCTCTAGCAGTCCAGGGCATCCTTCATCAAGACAAGACAATGAGCCTAGAGATCTTCTTCACATATTGTACTCTGCAGGAATGGCCATCAAGAATGCTGTTAAACACCAGCCAACTATTCAGTCAAGTTGGCCTCCTACTTCTGAGGAGTTTACACTTAGTAATATCCGTAGTGTCGTGCCTCAAGAACTTTTTAACCTTCTTGCCTGGGTTGTGGGAGCATCTGAAAGTCCTACATTGGATAAACTACAAGATGTGTCTGAACAAAAAGAACTCAAGCTTTTGTCTATATGCCAAGATATAGTTTATCTTGCTTCTGATGGCTATAAACATGATGACGCCAAAAGCACTTGCCCTTGGTCTGACAGTTCGACATCTAACAGGCTCGTCTCAAGTACTAAAGATCTTAAATAAACTTGGTCATACTGCATCCTTCGATAGTATAGTAAACTTCGAAACCAGTCTGGCCCAACTGCAGCTACAACAGGAGAATGCTATCCCAAAAGGCTTCAGTCAAGAGGTACCCACTGTCTTCATCTGGGATAACATTGACTTTGCTGAGGAAACAAGCTCAGGTGCTGGTTCACCACATCATACTAATGGTATAATGGTGCAGCCATCAATTACCAGGGGCCCCACAGAACAGAATCGTCCATTCATATCAAAGACCCAAGGTGCCTTTACCCCAGAACCCATGATGCTAGAGCATTATCATCATCAAAAGCGTGTGGGTCCAAAAGTGACTTCTGAAATACCAGACTCCGGAATTGGTGAGTGGTTGCTGGGAGAAGCCAAGCGCCTTGACGATATCTACACCATTATAAAAACTGCACAGTCAAGTGAGAGAGACAACTCAACCCCTGGTTGGACAGGCTTCAATATATCTGGGGACAGTGTTGTGCATCCCAAGTCAGCAATATATTATCTTCCTGTTATTGAAACTTCACCAACTGAAATGGCCACAGTACAGACTATATTCAAACGTACCCTTGACCTTGCTGATGTCTTGAAACTTGAGACAGTAGTGCTTGTTTTTGATCATGCTATTTATGCCAAGGCTCAGCAGATACGGTGGAATGACAGCAATCTTGGGAAACGGACTGTTGTGCGGCTCGGAGAACTTCACACTATTATGTCATTCCTTGGTGTTATTGGGAAGCGCTACCAGGATGCAGGCCTTCGGGACATTCTTGTTGAGTCTGGGTTAGTTGCTCCAGGTTCAGTCAATGGGGTTCTATCAGGTCACCACTACAACCGTTCCATGAGAGCACATAAACTGGTGTATGAAGCAATGCAACAATTACGAATGGCTGTCTTCCTTGATTCTTTGTCCCAAGAAAAGGCAGAGAGGTATGAGAATGTTGCATTGGAATTGTTGGAGCACTATACATCTGGATCTACTGTATATTGGACTCTGTTGAATCTGTTGCCACTATGGAAATGCTGAATGATTATACAAACTTCATTAAGAATGAGAGCCAGAGTAACCCAACCTTCAAATTGTGGTCGTCTTACATCGACATGGTCCAGCTGCTCCTCTCATTCATCCGTGCCACAAGAACATCCAACTGGAAGCTCCATCTTGCTGCTGTGCGAAAAATGATGCCATGGTACTTTGCATGTGATCGTATGAACTATGCAAGATATCTCCCTGCATATTGGCTAGAGATGACAAACCTGCCATTGACCCATCCAGAATGTCATGAGCTCATAACTCAGACTGGTAACTGGACTGTTCAACAACAAGGTACCCAGTCTTTTTCATCAATCGCCTGTGATCAAGCTATTGAACAGACAGTGAATCGGGACTCGAAAACAAAAGGTGGTCTCAAAGGAATAACCCTAAGAAGGGGTGCAGTACAAAGATGGATCCTTGCGCAACCAGAGAAGGCAGCAATTACAAGACAGTGTGAGATGATGGCTGGCCTGACTTCAGGCAGTCGAACTTCAAAAGAGTTTGACAGAACGAAGATAAGGAGGGATGAGGAAGCAATCTTGTCAGTGATGAACACAGTCCAAAACATGGTAAATCCTTTCACTGACCATGATGAACTTCTTTCTCTCAGCTCTGGTGTAACTGCTGAAAAGGACGTGATGTGTGATCTTCTTGATGCTGAGCTAAAGGGTGAAACTGCTGTCCAGACTTACATGAATGAACGCTTGGTCAAACAAGATAGGGATATGTTCTCATCCATTCCATCCATGAAGCTCAAAACCTTTAGTGACCAGGCCAAGAGCAGAAAACCAAAGAAATCCGGGAAAGAGACTATGCTGAAAAATGACAGAGCACTCTTTTCACGGCTTCTTATTATCAGTCAAGCTAGAGATATAAATCTGCGTGAAATCCTGTCATACTCGCTTGGGACAGTTTCCTTTCCATTGGCAAATGCAGATGGGACTCTCTCTAAGACGTCAAAGGCAGACATGTTGAAGATACTGGAATCCCGAGAGCCAGACTGTACCATATCATCTGTTCCACCCGGTAATGCTCTCATGATTGATGGCATGGCTATTATTCAGTCACTCCAGAAACCTCTACCTAGTACATTTGGTGAACTTGCTGATCTGGTCATGTCAATAGTGGTATCTCTTGCAAAGAAGTACAGGAGTTCTCGTGTTGACTTCATCACAGATAACTATCCTGATGTCAGCATAAAGAATCCAGAGAGGGACAGAAGGAACATTGATGGGGCACAGATAATCCAAATCTATGGAAAAGACCAGAAGATCCCGACCCAGTGGAGGAAATTCCTAGGTGATGGACACAACAAGGAGAATCTAGTGAATTTCCTCTGTTCCTGCTGGAAAGGTGCCTCATACAGAAATGTCACTGAGAAACTAGACATCTATTTGGCTTACAATTCAGAATGCCAAACTATAAGCATAGAGAATGGTCAGTGGTCCATAGAGAATAAGGAAGAACTTCGTTGTGACCATGAAGAGGCCGATACTCGACTTCTTCTTCATGCAAACCATGCCTCTTGCTCACATAACCATATTGTGATAAAGAGTCCTGATACTGATGTTGCAGTGATGGCCTTATCACATAGTACCTCGATGCAAGCTAGTCTTTACTTCCTCACTGGGACCAAAAACAAACTAAGGATGATAGATCTCAAAAGGATTGCCAACACTTTGTCCTTAGAAGAATGCCAGTCTCTAATTGGTCTCCATGTCTTCACCGGTTGGGATTCTGTCAGCTCCTTCTATGGAAAGGGTAAGGGAAAAACATTCAAGATTGCCATCAGTGACACAGAGTTTATCAAAGCCTTTTGTGACCTCGGAAACAGCTTTGATATGGATGACAACACACTGACCACTTTAGAAAGATTTGTGTGTAAACTTTATGGACAGAATGTGGAAAGTGTGAATGAAGCCAGGTACTGTGTATTTCGAGTCAGCGGGAAGTCAACTGAGCAAAGTCTACCACCTACCTCCGATGCTCTTAAGTTGCACACACTAAGGGCTAAGTATCAAGCTGCCATTCATCGTCGTGCTCTGCAGCCAGTAATATCTGCACCGTCACCAGATGGCCATGGTTGGAACATCCACGAAAAACAGCTGTCCATCAATTGGATGACCAATGATCCTGCTCCTAAAGAGGTGCTTAAACTTATTAGCTGTAAGTGCAAAACTGGACAATGTGACACTAAACGATGTTCATGTAAATCTTCCAACCTTAAATGTACAGAGTTATGTGGGTGCAAGAACTGTCAAAATGTTACTGGAGAAGAGGAGATTCTGTCTAGTGATGATAACGAGGATGATGATTGTACAATCTAGTCTGAGGGATAGAGACATTTGGCACCAACCAATAGACTTTGTGGTCATAATTGACATTGATAATGATGCCTTATTATACCTTGTAGATTTTGTAAATTTTTTCTTAATATTAAAATTCCTATTGACTGTGAAAATTGAAGTGTTTACCTTTATTGAGATAATTGCAGTTAAAGATGCTATTGTTGGAGGCCCAAAATTTCCAAATATGTTTAAACCACACCTCCAATACGTCCGATATTTTAGGGGTTGATTATTTGTAGGACCCTCCACAGATCTACCAAGTTTGAAGTGTGTGGCTGTATTTCTTTTGGAGGAAGTTAAAGATGCTATTAGAGGCCAGAAATCCAAAAATTACATGCATTTTCCAAATAAGTTTATTTCAGTTTATTTTCACACCGGCCAATATTTAAGGGACTGAATATTTGTAAGACCCTCCACAGATCCAGTAAATTTGAAATGTGTGGCTTCATTACTTTACGAGATAATTGGAGACAAATATGCTGTTAGAGGCTCAAATGTCATTTTTTTCATGTATTACCCAGCTTCAAAAGACAATTACTCAAAAACTGCAGGATGCCCGCGTGTGGAACTTTTTTTCTAAGAAGTTTAACCATTTTACTACATAAAAATCATAATAAAAAGTATTACCCAAGATGCTGGAACGGAACTCACTTTCTGACCACTTTCTGAGAGCTAGCCTATGGCCTATAAGGGAATGCCATGATATGGCAGCCCAAACCATCACTGATCCACCCCCATGCTTCACTCTGGGCATGCAACAGTCTGGGTGGTCCGCTTATTTGGGGCTTCTCCACACCGTAACTCTCCCGGATGTGGGGAAAACAGTAAAGGGGGACTCATCAGAGAACAATACATGTTTCACATTGTCCACATCCCAAGATTTGCGCTCCTTGCACCATTGAAACCGACGTTTGGCATTGGCACGAGTGACCGAAGGTTTGGCTATAGCAGCCCCGCTGTGTATATTGACCCTGTGGAGCTCCCGACGGACAATTTTGGTGGAAACAGGAGAGTTGAGGTGCACATTTACTTCTGCCGTGATTTGGGCAGCCATGGTTTTATATTTTTTGGATACAATCCGGGTTAGCACCCGAACATCCCTTTCAGACAGCTTCCTCTTGCGTCCACCGTTAATCCTGTTGGATGTGGTTCGTCCTTCTTGGTGGTATGCTGACATTACCCTGGATACCGTGGCTCTTGATACATCACAAAGACTTGCTGTCTTGGTCAAAGATGCGCCAGCAAGACGTGCACCAACATTTGGTCCTCTTTTGAACTTTGGTATGTCAACCATAATGCTGTGTGCATTGCAATATTTTGAGCAAAACTGTGCTCTTAACCTGCTAATTGGACCTTCACAGTCTGCTCTTATTGTTTCAATGTGCAATTAATGAAGATTGGCCACCAGGCTGGTCCAATTTAGCCATGAAATCTCCCACACTAAAATGAGAGGTGTTTCAGTTTCATTGTCCAACCCCTGTATATCTGCAAGTCGTCGGCATATAAGTGAAAAGACAGGTTGTGTTTTTTTATAATTGATCCCAGAGGTAGCATATACATTGAAAACAGAATAGAGCTGAGAATAGATCCCTGTGGCACCCCACAGGGCAGTGATGCCTTTGAGGAGCAGTGGTCACCAATTGCGACAGAGAAACTCCTGTTTGCCAAGTATGACCTAAACCACTGGAGAACGGTGCCACGGATGCCGACGTGCTCTAGGCGAGATACAAGGACTGCGTGGTCGACTGTATCCAAGGCTGCTGTGAGGTCTAGCAGTACCAGCACAGCGGAATTCCCAGCGTCGACAGACAAGGCAATATAATTGTGCACCTTTAACAGTGCCGACTTGGTGCTATGCCAGATTGAAATTTATCAAGAAGAGAATTGAAAAAAATGTCTGTAGTTGAATAAAAACAACTTTTTCTAAAACCTTAGAAAGAAAAGGCAAGTGGAGAGTACACAGGGGTCAAGATGCGTTTTTTTTATGAGGGGCCTTACCATAGCATGCTTGAAGGCAGCTGGAACAGACCCTGAACTAAGGCAAGTGTTTATAAAAACAAGCAGACTTGGCCCAACGGAGCTCAGAACCTCCTTCAAAAACTTAGCTGGAATAATATCTAAGGGACAGTTTGTGGGTTTCATGCCACTAACCACCTTAGTAAAAGAAGACCGCTCAAATACAGCAGTCTGTGCCGGAGGAGCACAGACTGAATATTATGGAGGACAAATATTTGGACTTGGCTTCCTTTAGAGCTCTCTGGTAAGCAGCCAAACTGTCCCTTAACCAGCCATGGGATACATGCAGTTTATCCTTTTTCCACCGCCGTTATGTTCATTTCTTAGGAACAGCAATGCTGTTCCCGGGTCAGTTTGACCCAGTGCATGTTTAATTATCCAAAAGATTTCTTCCTTCGAACCCAGGCCGCCCGCTTGCGAGCAGAGGCTCCACATATAGTACGCCTGTTGTAACCGTTAGGCTACGCTGCGGCCCGTAGGGTACAGAATTTAACTTCTTCCCTGTAAATATTAACAGTCAGTCAACTATGGTTCTCTAATTTTCTTTTCTCCCTGATTCTCGTAGCTTTGCTGTGTTTTGTTCTACAGTTGCTCTAGCTTTGTCTTGGTGGAGTGCTTTCACAGTCTCCAAACATCCCTTTTTCTTTCATTAACCTTGTCCAATCTAGAAATATGTTGACTCCTCCTGTCCAGTTATCCTTTGTAATTTTCTCAAGCCATATTGCAATTTTTTAAATCAACACTGACCCAAAAGAACCTTTCCAAAGAAGCTTCAACAAGGATGCATGCATTTGACCACTGAGAGTAAACCCAGTCTCCTCACAGATTTGAATTCACTGTTCTGCAAGACCCAAACTAAAATATCCCCTCCTGTAACTATTCAAATACCCCTTACACACAGCTTCTTGAGATCTGTGTTGATACAGATTTTTCTGAACCGTCTAAACTTTCCAATACACTGACATGAACACAGCAAAAGAATTAACAAAATAGGAAACCCCGTACATTTATGTTTATGTTTATGCATTTGTGCAGTTGTGGGGGGGGTAGAGGTATGGGTTAGGATTAGGATAGGAGATGCTCTTTGAAAAGGTGGGTCTTCAAGAGTTTCTTGAGGACAGACAGGGTTGTTCTTGTAGCATTTGGTAGGTCATTCCACCATCTTGGAACGACAAATGCAAAAAGTCTGGATTGTCTTGAGCGTGGTGAAGGCACTGCTAAACGACAATCCATTGATGACCGGAGTGATCGAGTTGTGACATAAGCCTTTGCAAGAGGATTCAAGTAGATGGGACCAATACCCTTAAGCACTTTGTAGGCTAGCATCAGGGACTTGAATTTGAGGGCCAGAGGTAACCAGTGACGTTCAATGAATAGAGGGGTGACGTGAGATTTTTTGGGCAGATAGAAAACCAGACGCGCCGCCGCGTTCTGGATCATTTGTAAAGGTTTTACCGTACAGGCTGGGAGACCAGTCAGGAGTGCGTTGCAATAGTCGAGGCGGGAGATGACCATAGACTGTACCAGGAGCTGGGTAGCATGTTGTGTTAGGTATGGCCGGATCTTTTGTATGTTTAGTAATGCGTGGCGACAGGATCGAGAAACGGAGGCAACGTGATCTTTAAAGGTCAGCTGGTCATCAATCATGACACCCAAGTTTCTTACTGCCTTTGATGGAGTCAGAGACAGGGATTCAGTTTGGATGTGAATATTGTGGTGAATGGTTGGTTTGGCTGGAAAGACAAGCAGTTCAGTTTTTGAGAGATTCAGCAGGAGGTGGTGGGCTTTTCATCCATTTTGGAACAATGGTATGAGACAGTCTGAGATGCGTCCCACCTGATGACCGTGTGGTCATCAGGTGGGAATGACAGATAGAGCTGTGTATCATCAGCATAACAGTGGTATGAGAAACCATGTGGTTGAATGATCTGGGCCAAAGTGGAATATATGGCAAAGAGAAGAGGTCCAAGTACCGAACCTTGAGGAACCCCTGTGGCAAGGTGATGCGCTGCAGAAGTGTGACCAAGCCAGGATACTTTAAATGATCGACCATTGAGGTACGATTCAAACCAGGAGTGTGCTCTCCCTGTGATGCCCATGCATGAGAGTATAGGCAGATTGTTTTGTGAAAGGTAGTCTGTGACCTGCTTAAAGACTTCCCTTTTAATGGTCTTTGACAGAAACGGAAGTAGAGAAACCGGCCGATAGTTTTCCACCTGAGTTGGTGGGAGAGAGCAGCGGTGTGACCAAAGCTTGCTTGTATGAGCTAGGAAATGTGCCTGACGTCAGCGAAACATTGATCACATGTGTGACTGCTGCAGTTACTGTATGAGCTATGGACTGGAGTAAGTCTGTAGGAACTGAGTCCAGCAAGCATGTAGTAGGACGGCTACAAGTGAGAAGTTTGGACATATTGCTCTCAGTAAGAGGAGCGAAGGAGGAGAACAAAGCAGTAGGACTTCTGCTTGTATATGTACTGTGAGAAGTTTCACGTGCAGGCCGTTCAGTAAACTGTTTGCTTATAGCTGCCAATTTGTCAGTAAAAAATGAGGCGAACGTGTCTGCCGTTAAGCTAGTAGCAGGTGGTGGAGGAGGATGGTTAAGCAGAGTTTTGAAAATGGAGAATAATTTTCGAGTGTCGGTTGTACTGTGAATCTTATCAGTATAGAAAGGAAGGATGGTGGGAAGCTGGAGTACCCGGAGGGTACACAGACACAAGGAGAACATGCAAACATCACAAAGAAGCTCCCCCCATCCCCTGGAGATTTGAACCAGAAACTAAGAAGAATATATATATATATATATATATATTAGGGCTGTCAATCTTTAAAAAAAATATATATAATTAATTACATACTCTGTAATTAATTAATCTAAATTAACCGCATTTTTGCTGTGAAAGTATTTTAAATATTTCAATTAAAATTATTCAATGAATAATCAGCATTAGATACATTAAAGTTCAAAAACTCTTTTATTCACATTTGATGCCTTCAGACGTTTAACGTGTCGTTGTGGCATATGTGGCACACATTAACGTAGGGGATACAATGAAAATAAATGAACACTCCCCTCAATATCAACACTTTACAACAGCTTTACAACAGCTCAAGAAACAGCGACCAAAAATTTAACATAATGCAATATAGTTGAGCATAAACTTTCAACTTTTAACAGCAACAATTTTTCAAGTTGTAGTAGACACATCTGCCTCACCTCTACTTCTCCTTGAGCCAGTCACTGAGACAAACTAGCTTCTCTACATTCAGAGGTCAAGGCTGCCCTCCTTTTTGGACTATGTTACCTGCAAGTGAAAAAAGTATCTTGCAAGGAACAGAACTTGCAGGGGCAGCCAGATATTTGCGAGCCAGGACAGAGAGCTGTTGATGGGCTCCTGCATGAGTTTTCCACCACTGCAGCGGGCATTCCTCCATGCTAATGGTGGGCTCTGCTTTGTAGTGGTTCAGAGCCTTGCTTGGTTCCACCATGTCATCATCTGAGTCTGTATCTGAAGCAAAGAGAAGGAGGCTTCTCTTTTTCGAGGGCTCTTCTACAGGTTCCGGAGTAGCTGTACTGGGTTTATTTTGCAGCAGTGCCTGAAGGCTGGTCCACACTGCTTCTCTATCTCCTTTTATAAGACCCTTCAAGTCTTTGAAGCGTGGGTCTAATGCTGAAGCTATGTTGAGTCATCCATTGTTGAGGTTTGCTTGCCTTTCAGACAGGTCCTTTTTAAAGGCAGTCTTAAATTTTCCAATATAGGCTGGGTCCTCGTCTGAAACTTCCATTGTACGGTACAGGTGGCAGAGAGCAGGCAATACCACAGAGCAGGAAACATAAGTTTCACCTCCAAGGAGCTCAGTCACATATCTGCAGTAGATGATAAGAGAGGCCTCTGAAGTTTGTCCCACTCAGATGCAGTCAGCATAGTCAGCTTGTGCTTCTGTCTGCTCAGTGTAGCCTTGATAGCCTCCTGGTTCTCCAGGAGACGAGAGATCATGGCGAGTGATGAGTTCCATCTTGTGATAACATCCTCAATCAGACTTTGGGTCACTTGCCCAAGTTGAGTTTACTGCTGGTGGAGCTCCTCTGTACTGGCAGGGCTATGTTTAAAATGTCCCACTGTCTTACGACACTTTGCCAATGTGTCACAAAACCCACTGTCTTTGAGGCAAACAGAGATGCTTCTCTGTAACATATGAGCAACACAAGGCATGTGCTCATATGGAAGCTTTCTCGCTGCAGCGATCATGTTTCGGGCGCTGTCGTTGCCCACTGTGGTGATTTTTGGTTGAACTCCCCATGCCTCCGCCACAGACAAAAACTGCTGGGCGGAGGCATTGGCATAGTGCCTGGTCTCCGTTTCTAGCATCGCTAACGCAAACGACTGGAGTTTCCATTCACAGTCAATGATGTGTGCCGTAACACCGAAGTAAATGTGGTTGCTAACTGAAGTCCAGTGATCCCCTGTCAGCACGATATGTTCTGCTCCCACCAGTACATCTCCTTTTGGGGTTTTTTAAGTGTCGTACAGCCGCTGGACTTTGGACAAAATGGTGTTTCGTGATGGCGGGTTATATGTCATGTCTGAAGAGGCTATTTGCAAAACTTCTGCTAACCCCCTGTCTTCTATCAATGAAACTGGTCTGCAGGACACTGCGATCCATTTAGCAAGGGAATTGCTCTGTTGGTCACATGCAGATTTGCTTAGTTTCCGTTTCAGTGTTTGCTCCAGTGTGGTTTGATGATGAGGTTGACTGCTAGAGCTTGTATCACAGGACGTGCCAGGTCGTGGTCCTACCTGCGGGTTAACTCCTGGATGCTTTGCACTTATGTGGTTGACGCACTCCGGTGGTAAGCAAATTCTTTTCTGCAGACATTGCAGATGACTTTACTTTTATCAACACTTCCGTCAGGCCTTTTTTTATACCTAAATGATGAAATCAATGACGGAGGCAGCGTGTTCTCGTCTCCCTTTTTCATTTAATTTAATTTTCAACCGTCTCTGGTCTAATGGTGACTGATTAGAACGGTTCCGGGTCAAAGGTCAATACGATATTGATTAATATGCGTTATTTTTTTAAATACGTTTTTTTTTTTTTTTTTATTAATTAATCGAAATGAACGCGTTATTTTGACAGCCCAAATATATATATTAGGGGTGAACGGTTCACAAAATCCACGGTTCGGTTCGGGTTCACGGTTTCGTAGTCACGGTTTTCGGTTTGGTTCGGTAAATGTTGATTGTTAGGAAAATCTTTTATGTCTTGTCAGGTTAAAACTGAAAGAAAAAAGCAGTTTGACATTTGATACATCATTGTGACAGTCACCCTGGGCTGCCACCTTATCGTGGTGGAGGGGTTTGAGTGTCCCAGTGATCCTAGGAGCTATGTTGTCCGGGGCTTCAAGCCCCTGGTAGCGTCACCCAAGGCAAACAGGTCCTAGGTGAGGGATCAGACGAAGCGCAGCCCACAAGACCCTTTATGAGGAGAAACAAAAATGGACTCAGAGTACCCTCGCCCGGGCGCGGGTCACCGGGGCCCCCCCCTGGAGCCAGGCCCAGGGGCGGGGCACAATGGCACCATGGCGAGCGCCTGGTGCCCGGGCCTTCGCCCATGGGGCCCGGCCGGGCCCAGCCCGAAGAGGTTACATGGGTCCCCCTTCCCAGGGGTTCACCACCCGTGGGAGGGGCCAAAGGAGTCGGGTGCGCTGTGCACTGGGCAGCGGCCGGAGTCGGGGACCTTGGCGGACTTATCCCCGGCTGCAGAAGCTGGCTCTAGGGACGTGGAACGTCACCTCTCTGGTGGGGAAGGAGCCTGAGCTGGTGTGCGAGGCGGAGAGATTCCGGCTGGACATAGTCAGTCTCGCCTCGACACACAGCTCTGGCTCTGGAACCAGCCTTCTCGAGAGGGGTTGGACGGTCTGCTACTCTGGAGTTACTTATTGCCCCCCATCTCGGTGCCTGTTTGTTGGGGTTTACCCCAGTGAACGAAAAAGGTAGCATCCCTTCGCCTTCGGGTGGGGGGACTGGTCCTGACTGTCGTTTGTGCCTATGCGCCTAGCGGCAGTACAGAGTACCCACCCTTTTTGGAGTCCTTAGGGGACTCCCTCGTTTTGCTGGGGGACTTCAACGCTCACGTGGGCAACGACAGTGAGACCTGGAGGGGCGTGGTTGGGAGGAATGGCCCCCCCAGCTTGAACCCGAGTTGTGTTCTGTTTTTGGACTTCTGTGCTCGGCATGGATTGTCCATAACGAACACCATGTTCAAACATAAGAGTGTCCATATGTGCACTTGGCACCAGGACACTCTAGGCCGCAGCTCAATGGTCGACTTTGTTGTTTCAGCTGACCTGCGGCCGCATGTCTTGGACACTCAGGAGAAGAAGGGGGGGGGCTTTCCAATGACCACTACCTGGTGGTGAGTTGGCTCCGATGGTGGGGGAGGATGCCGGTGAGACCCGGGATGCCCAAACGTATTGTGAGGGTCTGCTTAGAGCGCCTGGCGGAGTCCCCTGTTAGGCGGAGCTTTAACTCCCACCTCCGGGAGAGCTTCGAGCACGTTCCGGGGGAGACGGGGGACATTGAGTCCGAGTGGGCCATGTTCCGCGCTTCCATCAATGACGCGGCCTCCCGGAGCTGCGGTCGCAGGGCTGTCGTGTCTGTCGTGGCGGCCACCCTCGAACCCGCTGGTGGACACCGGCGGTGAGGGATGCCGTCAGGCTGAAGAAGGAGTCCTATCGGGCCTTTTTGGCCTGTGGGACTCCGGAGGCAGCCGATGGGTATCGGCAGTCCAAGCGACGTGCGGCTCGTGTGGTCGACGAGGCAAAAACCCGGGCGTGGGAGGAGTTTGGGGAGGCCATGGAAAAAGACTTTTGTACGGCCTCGAGGCGATTCTGGTCCACTATCTGGCGTCTCAGGAGGGGGAAGCAGTGCCCCACCAACACTGTTTACAGTGGGGATGGTGTGCTGTTCACCTCAACTAGTGACGTTGTGAATCGGTGGGCGGAGTACTTCGAGGACCTCCTCAATCCCACTGGCATGTCCTCCATTGGAGGGGCAGAGCTTGGGGATCCGGAGTTGGGATCTCTAATCTCCGGGGCTGAAGTCACCGAGGTAGTCAAAAAGCCTCGCGGTGGCAAGGCCCCGGGGGTGGATGAGATTCGGCCGGAGTACCTCAAGGCTTTGGATGTTGTGGGGCTGCATTGGCTAACGAGACTCTGCAACATTGCGTTGGCATCAGGGGCAGTTCCGCTGGATTGGCAGACTGGGGTGGTGGTCCCCCTATTTAAAAAGGGGGACCGAAGGGTGTGTTCCAACTACAGGGGGATCACACTCTTAAGCCTCCATGGGAAGGTCTATTCAGCGGTTCTGGAGAGGAGGGTCAGTCGGATAGTCGAGCCTCGGATCGAGGAGGAGCAGTGTGGTTTTCGTCCGGGCCGTGGAACGCTGGACCAGATCTATACCCTCAGCGGGGTCCTAGAGGGTGCATGGGAGTTTGCTCAACCAGTCCACATGTGTTTTGTGGACTTGGAGAAGGCTTTCGACCGTGTCCCTCGGGGTATCCTGTGGGGGGTGCTCCGGGAGTATGGGGTACCTGGCCCTTTGTTACGGGCTGTTCGGTCCCTGTACAACCGGAGTCAGAGTTTGGTTCGCATTGCCGGTAGTAAGTCAGACTCGTTTCCGGTGGGAGTTGGACTCCGCCAAGGTTGCCCGATGTCTCCGGTCCTGTTCATAACTTTTATGGACAGGATTTCTAGGCGCAGCCGAGGTGTTTAGGGTGTCAGTCTTGGTGGCCTTAGGATCGCATCTCTGCTTTTGCAGATGATGTGGTCCTGTTGGCTTTATCAAGTCGGGACCTACAGCTCTCACTGGAGCGGTTCGCAACCGAGTGCGAAGCGGCTGGGATGAGGATCAGTGCCTCCAAGTCCGAGAGCATGGTCTCTCACCGGAAAAGGGTAGAGTGCCTTCTCCGGGTCGGAGCGGACGTCCTTCCCCAAGTGGAGGAGTTCAAGTACCTCGGGGTCTTGTTCGCAAACGGGGGTAGGGAGCGTGAGATCGATAGGCGGATCGGTGCGGCGTCTGCAGTAATGCGGGCGCTGTACCGGTCTGTCGTGATGAAGAGAGAGCTGAGCCTAAAGGCGAAGCTCTCAATTTATCGGTCGATCTACGTTCCCACCCTTGTCTATGGCCACGAACTTTGGGTAGTGACCGAAAGAACGAGATCGCGGATACAAGCGGCCGAAATGAGTTTCCTCCGCAGGGTGGCTGGGCTCTCCCTTAGAGATGGGGGAGAAGCTCGGCCATCCGGGAGGGGCTCGGAGTAGAGCCACTGCTCCTCCACGTGGAGAGGAGCCAGTTGAGGTGGCTCGGGCATCTGATCAGGATGCCTCCTGGTCGCCTTCCTGGGGAGGTGTTCCGGGCTCGTCCCACCGGGAGAAGGCCCAGAGGAAGACCCAGGACCCGCTGGAGGGACTATGTGTCCCGGCTGGCCTGGGAACGCCTCGGGATCCCCCCGGAGGAGCTGGCTGAAGTGGCCGGGGAGAGGGGAGTCTGGGTCTCCCTGCTTCGGCTGCTGCCCCAGCGACCCGACCCCGGATAAGCGGAGGACAATGGATGGATGGATGGATTGTGACAGTCTTAGGTTAAAAGTATGTGGGATTCAGGCATTGCAAGAGAGGAGACAGTGCTCCGCTTCTTTTTCTTGTTTACTACTGGTGGTTGGCTTTGGGCGCAGTACCGCCACCTTCTGCTCTAGAGTGTACACGCTTCGCCTATGAGAAAAAGGAGCAGCGCATGAACCGAACGCAACACACGCGTATCGAACCGTGACAGTCAACCTGAATGGTTCGGACAGTTTTCATAAACCGTTCATAAACCGTTCCATCCCTAATATATATACATATATTTATATATATATATAGAGAGAGAGAATTTTTTTTTTCTTTTTACAAAAAACCTTATTACAAAAGTATGTACTACATTACACCTTTAAAATAAAATAAATAAATGAATAAAAATAATCATAACATACAATATGCAAAAACTAATTCCCAATCAATCACTGAGCATAAAGTTTCATTGTAGCACCAAACACATTCAAAAGCATCAACATTGGTAATGGACTTATAAAAATTGAATTCCATTAGCAATCTGGCCTTTATAAGTCTTACAGGAACAGTCACAACATTATAATCACAGTCCTGCTCTATTTTATTTTTCCTAGTGATATACAGAGACATTTTAGCATTGCCCAATATGTAGTTCATCAGTTGTGCTTTCGTGTTTTTCCTCTTACAATATTTAAAACAAAGTATAAACATTTGTGTGGAGAAAGTTTCACCAAATCTTTGAAACAGTTCTTCCAAAAAATC